TCCCGAGTAGCTGGAAATACAGGCGTGTGCCACCATGCCCAGCTAATTTTTGTATTTTTAGTAGAGACGGGGTTTCACCATGTTGACCAGGATGGTCTCCATCTCTTGACCTCGTGATCCACCTGCCTCGGCCTCCCAAAGTGCTGGGATTACAGGTGTGAGCCACCGCGCCTGGCCAAGACTGCTTTTTTATGTGGGTCCTGGATCCGGTTTCTCCTCACTGGGATAGATCTTCCCACCGGGATCTTCAGCCTTCCCCACTGGTATTTCCCCGCTAGCAGCAGCTCTAGGCCTCCCAGGGATGGAACTCCCTGAGGGAGGGGTGGGCCACTGACTTCGCTATTTCACAGCCTTTGTCATGGTTGCCTTCAGGTTTTGGAGATTCTGAGGCAACTGGGGGCTGGACTGGCCCCCAGCATAGCACAGCATAACTGCTCTACCAAAAATCAGCCAGACTGCTTCTTTACACAGGCCCCTAATCCCATTCCTCCTCACTGGGATGAACCTCCCAACCAGCACCTCCTGCTGATATGTTTGGGCCGGCAACGGATAAGGGAAATTCCGAGGTGATTAGGGTCTGGAGGGGACCTCCAGCATACTGCAGCAGCCCTATGGAAAAGTGGCCAGACTGCTTGTTACATGGGTCTCCAATCCTGTATCTTCTTCTTACTGGGCGGTTCCTCCTGACCTGGGTCTCCAGCAATCTCCCACCATGTCTGAGCCAGCAGCAATTCTATGAGTCCCTGGGTCAGAGTCCCAGAGAAAGGAGCGGGTTGCCATATTTGCTGCCCGGCAGCCCTTGCCCTTGCTGTCCCCAGGCTACGGAGTGTCTGCAGGGACCAGGGGCTGGTCTGGACTCACAGCACCAAGCACCAGCCTCACGGAGAAGTGGCTGGGCTGTTCTCCAAGCAGGTCCCAGTCCTCGCTTTTCCTCACTGGACAGAGCTGGCCAACCTGGGACTCCAGCACAACCTCCCTGTCCCCACCTGACTACTTCAATCAGTGGCAGCCCAGTATTTCCCCAAGGAGGAAATCCCAGAGTAAACCCACAACGCATCTGCCACTGCACTTGGAGGGGTACCGCCTAACAACCCTCAGGCTGGGGAAGTAACAAAGGACCTAGTCACTATGCTGACACCTCTGGCACACAGCAACCACCATATAAAGATGAGTCTAGCCCCTGTTCCCTGGGAATGCCCAACCCCCACTCATCACCAAGCGAAGCCCCTGGCTCATGACTGCAGAACCGTTGCCCCACTCATGGACAAGCATACCCACTGATCGTGGACTGGAGTTTTCCCGGGGAAAGGCTCCCAGAGGTATCTGACAGCCCCTCTGCCACCGTCACATCAGCAGTTGTATCTCTGCTTCCCTCAGTGTGGGGAAGAAACAAAGAGCCTGAGGGCCACATGCAAGCCTGCAGTACACCACAGTCACCATACGGAGAGGAGACCTCTCACTGCTTCAAGCCCTCAACCCCTGCTCCCCAACAGGCAGAGGCCCAAGCACAAACAAGCAGTGCAGCTGCTCCATCCACTGACTGGAGTAACGACGACTCTGTGCTTCCCGTAGATAGAACCGCCAAGGACCACCGAAAGCTCCTCTGCCGCTGCCTCTGTGGTGGTACTATCCCCACGACCCTCGGACTAACGACGGAGCGAAGACTCTAAGTGCCTTATCCACATCTCCAATAAACTGCAGTCAACCCAAGGACAGGAAGCCAGTCTGTCTTCCACAGGTCCCAACCATCTCTTCTGCTCATGGCCATGCAGGGAACCCCCAACTTGGACCCACAGCACAGGCCTTTCATGTTAGGCTGATTGCACTAAGTGATTGTTGACCTGTATCTCTCTGGGGTGGATTCCCCAGGAGACAAGTAAAAGACCCTTGGCCACAACCACTCTTAAGGTTCCTTCCACTGCTGCCTCCAAGTTGGTGAGAGAACATAAACCCTGAGATGACCACAGAGCTGCAGTGAGCATCCTAAGAGTGCCAAGCCATGATCTACAGCCAGCACTCAAGTGAGAGAGGAACCCACACTTTCAGAGCATTGAGAGGAAGCACAGCTGCAAATATGAGGAAATATAGGAGAGCCACATGACTGAGTAAGAGCCTAGCAACAGACCCTTACACTTAAGCACCACCTATTGAATTATATCCCAAGGCTTCAGCAACATCAAAATACCTCCCTAAAATACACACCTGTGAAACAAAAGACGAGAAGTCAGCTACAAATACAAAAGACCCTGCACAAAGCCTCAGCCCTGTGAAAACATCCACATTTACACCTACAGTTAAAGAAATCTATACCACAGTTAAAGGAATACCCACAAACAGAGATGAGAAAGAACCAATGCAAGAACTCAGGCAATTCAAATGGCCATCATGTTTTATATTCTCCAAACAAATCTCATTAGTTCTCCAACAAAGACCATGGAGATTTAAGAGATTGGCAAAATGCAGTCCAAAAAAACTAAGAAGCACAATAAAAGAATACAGGAGCGGCCGGGCACGGTGGCTCACACCTGTAATCCCAGCACTTTGGGAGGCTGAGGCGGGTGGATCACGAGGTCAAGAGATCGGGACCATCCTGGTCAACATGGTGAAACCCCATCTTTACTAAAAATACAAAAATCAGCTGGGCATGGTGGCACACGCCTGTAGTCCCAGCTACTTGGGGGGCTAAGGCAGGTGAATTGCTTGAACCCGGGAGGAGGAGGTTGCGGTGAGCCGAGATGGTGCCATTACACTCCAGCCTGGGCGACAAGAGTGAAACTCCGTCTCAAAAAAAAACCAAAAAGGATACAGGAGCTGACAGACAAAATAGGCAGTATAAGAAAGAATCTAAATGACCTGATACAGCTGAAAAACACACTATGGGAATTTCACAATGCTGTCACAAGTATTAACAGCAGAATATATGAGGCTGAGGAAAGAATCTCAGAACATGAAGACTGGCTCTCTGAAATAAGACAGCCAGTCTTATTTCAAATAAGATAAAGACAAAAACATGAAAAAAAATGAACAAAACCTCCAAGAAATATGAGTTTATGTAAAAAAAGCAAATATGAAGTAGCCGGAATCTCAGAAAGACTGACCGACTGACTCTGATGGGAGCCAGGTCTGAGGGAAGGAGGCGGCGGCCATGGAGTTGGGCGAGCTGCTTTACAACAAGTCCGAGTACATCAAGACGGCATCTGGGAACAAAGTCAGTCGCCAGTCGGTGTTGTGTGGAAGCCAGGACATCGTTCTCAATGGCAAGACCATTGTGATGAATGACTTTATTATCTGAGGGGATCTGGCAAACGTAAGAGTTGGGCGCCATTGTGTTGTGAAAAGTCGTAGTGTCATAAAGCCACCATTCAAGAAATTCAGCAAAGGTGTTGCATTCTTTCCTTTACATATTGGGAACCATGTCTTTATTGAGGAAGATTGTGTGGTCAATGCAGCTCAGATTGGTTCCTACGTTCATGTTGGCAAGAACTGTGCGATTGGACACCGATGTGTGTTGAAAGACTGCTGCAAAATTCTTGATAACACAGTATTACCTCCAGAAACTGTGGTCCCACCATTCACTGTCTTCTCAGGCTGCCCAGGACTCTTCTCAGGGGGGCTCCCAGAGTGCACTCAGGAGCTGATGATTAATGTCACCAAGAGCTACTACCAGAAGTTTTTGCCCCTGACACAAGTCTAGCATCTCTGCCTCATATCTTGAATTTGCTTGAGTTCTAAAATGAATTTGGGGACAAAGCGAGCCAGTCAACACCTACAAAGAGCTTTTATGTCTTCAACATATACCCCTCCTTCTTTTAAAAAATTCCTTGAGAATTTCTCAATCCTCAAGGCTCTAAGCTCTTAAGAATTTACTAATAGACCATCTGGAGGAGTTATCTTCAAATGCTATGCTTACACCTTATCTATGAACAGTCACTTTGTACCATTATCTGTGGAACACAGAATCATCTGTTCCCAACACTCCAGCCCCTTGGTCCTGTGAATGGCTGGATCCCGCCTGAAACAGACCTGCAGAGCAGCAGCACCCTTTCGGTGTGGAGGCTATATAGCTGATGTGCTGCTCACAGCCATACGCTGCCCATGCTGAGCGCCTCTCACACAGGTAATGTCCAGCTTTTCTTCTGCTAACACAATTGGCCAGTTGTTGCAATTGCTCATAATCCTGGGAAAAGGTGTTTGTGACTTTTCAGAGCCCAGATTCCTCTTGGCTATTAAAACTTGAAGGGAGGGGTGATTAGTGTTTCTCTCTCTTCTTCCCAAAATGACCTTAGCTGTCCTAAGGTAGTTAGTAAAAGACTTTTTAGCATTTTGATCTAGGGCCTTTGGCTTTCACTAAAAGTGGGGACCTCAGCATCCTAGACTGTACTTTTGCCAAGTGTTAGATATAAGTCTCTCCTGTGGATGCATTAGTCAGGTGGTTACTTCTTGCCTCAAGGTACTTATTTCACTGAAGACACTGCATTTGCGAACTCTTGCTCCCTGGCCTAGAACCATTCAGCCTACCCTGTATTTGTCAAAACTCCATAATTTACACCTAAATGCCTGTACTTAGAGCCCGTTTGCATATATACATGAAGGGCTCTTAAAATCAGTTTGTGGGCACAGAGCCCCAGGAGTAAATGAAGTTGCTAAGGTTGTTCTTACCATCTCCTCTGGCCAGTAGCACACCCTTCCTGGTACTGCTCTGACGTCATAGCTTAGAAAGAAGATTTAGAGGTAAGGGGCTGAGAAGGTTGGCTTTGGTTAATACCCTGATCTGTAAGTGAGTAGGGCAGAACAGTTCAGCCTTCTAGGTTAGAATTTAGCAGGAGCTATCCTGACTTAATAGCCAGTTGTGGGGTTTGTGAAACAAAACAGCTGTATATAATCATTTCCACTAGTTCTATCTAGAACTCCTTTCTAGTTTGTCATTTTTTTTGTAACTTCCTACTTTGTCATTTTTTTAATAAATACATAACTCAGAGAAGATGGAAGTTTATTTCTCTCTCCCCTAACAGTGCAGAGATAATCAGCTGGTCCAGGCCAGGCAAGTGGCTGGTCCATGATATTATCAGGCACCCAGGTTCCTACTGTCTTGCCATGTGTCCACAATTAGCAACAAGGTAGGCTGTAAATTTAGTTTCTACTTGGGCAGCCAAAACTCTGGAAGGAGACTGTGCTAGTTAGGGAGTGGGGGAAGAATGGCCATTGGGAGACAATAAGCAGACACAGCCAGGCCTCTGTGTTGGCTTCCTTTCCTCCTGCTGCACATGAGCCTTCTCTGTGTATTTGGGGCCACGACAGCTGACAGCTCCAGACCTGCAGCCTTCCATCTTGGGGGCCTTGAATGAAAGGTTTCTTCCCTTCCAGTTCTAATTTGGAAACTCACAAAGTTCTCAGTGATTTGTTAGTCCTATGTCCTCTTGGATCAGTCTCTGTGGCCATGCGTGTTTGGCCACATGATTAATCCAGTCTGGGTTGTGACCTTTTCTCCATCCAAAATAAGGTGCTGGGAAGACAAAAACAATAGCTACTACAAACAATAGGAGTTTATAATTATGTGCTGATGTATTCAAAGATGTGTTGACAGTTGTGAGTGTGTATCCTAGGAAAGGCCAGCTGGAGTCTGTCTCCATGGTGGTTCTCACCTCAGGGACCTAGGCACAGTCTGTCACCACACAATTACTTTTGTAACCCTTCAGAAGAAAATCTTATCCTCAGAATACTTGCAGAAGAACAACCAGAGAGGAAGGACCTTGATTGGGACTCTTTCCAGTTTACTTGGGGCAGAGGGAATTTAACGGCTCATGTAGCTGAAAAGCATGGGCTAGATTGGGCTTCAGGCCACATCCCAGGGCTCCAAACAGGGATCTGTCTCTTCGGCTCTCAGCTCTGCTTTCATTTGAGATGGCTTTATTCTCGGGCTTCACGATGTGGTCCCACAGCACCAGTTATTGATAAAAAGAGCTCCCCTTTGCTGACAGAACTGCTGGATTTGTTTCTCATTGGCCCAGACGAGGAAGGTATCCAGCCTTAAGTCATCATTGTGGCCAGGAAGATGGAATACGCCAAGAGGACAGGCCTGGCATGTACCCACAGAGACTGAGAGTTGCTGCTGGTGGTTGTGGTGGCGGATATTACCTGAAGAAGGGATGAATGGGTGCTGGGCAGGAAAAAGCATCAGCTGTCTAGTTCAGGCCTCTCCTCTTTTCCTGGTAGCTTCACTTTCCTCCCTCTCCCTGCTGTCCCTTACCCTCTGGCTAGTCTCTCATTACTCCTGGTCTTGGGAGGTACCTTCTGAGGATACTCTGTGGGGTTACCTGAGCCTATGTTACAGGCAGAGGGAGGATGTTGCCTAGCCAAAGTGGGTGTTCAATAAAGAACCATTTGGAGATGGAAAAAAAAAAGGAAAAAAGCCAAATATATGAATCATTGGCATTCCTGAAAGGAACAGAAAGAAAGCAAACAACTTGGAAAGCATATTTTAGGATATTGTCCATTAAAACTTCCCCAAACATGCTAAAGAAGCCAACAGTCAAATGCAGGAAATACAGAGAGCCCTTCCAATATTCTATACAAGGAGATCATCCTCACTTGTGCTTTTCAGCTCTGCCATCCCCACTTAGGGATGACCTTCTTGTATAGAAGTGTAGTATGTATTTCAGTGCTATTATCCACATTTGGGGATGATCTTTTCATGTAGAATTTTGAGGGGTTCTCAGTATTGAAATTAAAGAAAAAAAAAATGTTAAAGGCAGCCAGAGAGACAGATCACATTACCTACAAAAGGAAGTACATCAGACTAACAGCAGGCCTTTCAGAAGAAACCCTACAGGCCAGAAGAGATTGGGGGCTTATACACAACATTCTTAAAGAAAAGAAATTCCAACCAAGAATTTCATATCTGGTCAAACTAAATTTCATAAGTGAAGCAAAAATAAGATTCTTTTCATACAAGCAAATCCTAAGGAAATTTATTATCACCAGATCTGCCTTCCAAGACCTCCTGAAAGAAGCACCAACTATAGAAAGGAAACACCATTACCAGCCAATACGAAAACATACTTAAGGACACAGACCACTAAAACTATAAAGCAACCACGCAAAGTTTGCTTAATAACTAGCTAACATCATGATGTCAGGATCAAATCCACACATATCAATATTAATCTTGAATGTAAATGGGCCAAATGCCCTAATTAACAGACACAGAGTGGAAAGCTGAATAAAGAACCAAGAACAAATGGTGTATTGTCTTCAAGAGACCCATCTCACATGAGAGGACACCCATAGGCTCAAACTAAGGTGACAGAGAAAAATCTACCAAGTAAATGAAAAACAAAAAAGAAGGGGTTGCAGTCCTCATTTCACACAAAATAGGCTTTAAACCAACAAAGATAAAAAAAGACAAAAAAAAAGAGCATTACATAATGATAAAGGGTTAAACTCAACAAGAACACCTTACTATCCTAAATATATATGCACCAAACACAGGATCACCTAGATTCATAAAGTAAGTACTCAGAGCGCTTCAATGAGACAGACTTCCACACAATAATAGTGGGGGACTTTAACTCCCCACTGACAGTATTAGAAAGACCATCAAGGCAGAAAATTAACAGAGATATTCAGATTCTGAATGCAGCACTGGATCAAATGGACCTGATAGACACCTACATAACTCTCCACCAAAAATCAACAGAATGTCATCCACCACGTGGCACATATTGTAAAATCTACCAAATAATCAGACATAAAACAATCCTCAGCAAATACAAAAGAACTGAAATCCTGTCAAATACTCTCTTGGACCATAGGGCCATGAAATTGAAAATCAAGACCAAAAAGATCGCTCAAAATCATACAATTTTATTAAAATTAAATAACCTGCTCCTGAACGACTTTTGGGTAAATAATTAAATAAAACATTTAAATAATAATTAAAGCAGAAACCAAAAAATTATTTGAAACTAATGAAAACAAAGATACAATATACCAGAATCTCTGGGACACAGTAAAGGCAATGTTAAGAGGCAAATTTATAGCACCAAACACCTACATCGAAAAGTCAAAAAGATCTCAGTGTAACCACCTAACATCCCAACAAAAAGAACTAGATAACCAAGAGGAAATCAAGTCTGAAAGAAGCAGAAGACAAGAAATAACCAATAGCAGGAGACTGAAACATGCAAAGCCACTCAAAGTAGTAACGAATCCAGGAGTTTGTTTTCTGAAAACAATAAATAAATAAAATAAGCCAGTAGCTATAATAATAAAGAAGAAAAGAGAGACACTTCAAATAACCAATTATAAACAACAAAGAAGATATTAACACTGAGCCGACAGAAATAAAAATAACCATCAGAGATTGTTATGAACACCTCTGTGCACACAAACTGGAAAATCAAGAAGAAATGGATAAATTCCTGGACACATACACCCTCCCAGGACTGAACCAGGAAGAAATTGAATCGCTGAACAGACCAACAACAAGCTCTGA